GTAAAAAAGATAGGAAAACATTACCTCGTCATCCGGGGAAGAGAAAATTGTTGGTACAGCTGTGTGTTTCAAGTATCTTATACCCCATCGCACATCAAGGGAATCAGGGGTAAAATGATCACTGCACAGAAGCTGGTGCTTACTCGGAGTCCACGCATCGCGTTTCATGTTCCGCAACCATTTCTCAAGTCTCTCTTTATCATGAAGTGGAAATCTTTTTTAAAACAGTTGGGGGGGGGGAAAGCAAAGAAATGTTATTTTTTAGAAGTTTCTTTATGTTAAAAAGAAACCAAAGAGCATATTATTATTTCTTACAAGACTGTCCTTTCTTATTTGAATTCCGTTCAGAGAATTCAATTCCTTTCTTTTTCATTTTAATCCAGCTCCTCCCTCCCTCAGAAAATATTGTCACTTACATGTTAATCCACTATTCAACCAAATGATTTCTGGTGGATATCAGCTCAAGAGTCCAGCAGAATTTCTATTGTTTTCTTCTGGCCAAGGACTACAGACCTTTAGGCTAGTGTGTTCAAAACTCTCAAGTCTGTAATGCTTGCTCAAAAAGATCTCCTGATGCCAGGAAATACTCATTTCATTAAGAAAATGCAAGATCTAGTCCTTACTCTAATAATACTATTTGTGGAGCTTTTATTTTTTTAATCTTTCTGTACAAGTTAAGCATAAAAAACTTTAGTTTTTTTTGTTTTGTTTTGTTTAACGAAGTACTGCTTAGTGTACATCATACTTACGACTGTCGAGTCACTTAGAAGTGTGAATATTTCCACTGCAGGATTTAACTTTTGTTAAAGACATAAATACACACCAAAACAAAATATTTCTCCATGTTGTTTCAGAACTTCAGCTTTCTCACAGTGTTCAGTATCCAATGTTGTGTAATCCATAACTAGCTTTGCAACCATCTAAGCTAACTGAAAATGAAGACTATACAGTGTAATTGAAATATGTATATAAAAAAATTGATTTTGAAAGTATATGCAAGCAGTCAAATTATGTGAGAAAGAGAACTAAATTAAAACAAAGTGAGCAAAGATGTGTAGTTTACTCAATGAATAACAATACACAAAAGTTAAAGAGAAACTAAATGCTTGTTATGATGTATGAAAAGCCAGGTTATTGTGGTAATGGCAATACAAACATCCAGAACACTATGAGCTCTTGTACCAATCCCCAGCCATGGGCAGGATTGCTAGGCACTAGACCAGGATGCCCAATGTCCCACCCAACCTGGCCTTGAACACCTCCAGAGATGGGGTATCCACAACCTCTCCAGGCAACCTGTTTCAGCACCTCACCATCCTCTGAATGAAAAATTTTCCCCTGACCTCTAATCAAAATCACTACTCTTCTAGTTCAAAGCCATTCCCTCCTTGTACTTCCACTATCTACCAATGTAAAAAGTTGATTCCCTCTATTTATAATTTCCCTTTAAATACTGGAAGACCACAAGGTCTCCCCAGAGCCTTCTCTTCTCCAGGCTGAACAAGACCAGCTCCCTCAGACTGACTTCATAGGAGTGGTGCTACAGACCTATGATAATCTTTGTGCCCTTCTCTGGATCCACTCCAAGAGATATTTCTTGTGCTGGGGCCCCAAGCCTGGACACAGTACTCCACATTGGGTTTCACAAGGGCAGAGTAGAGAGGGACAATAACCTCCCTCTCCCTGCTCTTCTGATGCAGTCCAGGATTCAGTTGGCCTTCTAAGCTGTGAGTACACACTGCTGGCAGATGTTAGGTTTTTCATCCTTCCACAATCCCTAAGTCTTTCACAGCAGAGCTGTCATGAATAATAACAGTAAAAAACAAAAACAAAAAAAGAAAAACCTACGCTTTTGAATAAATCATATCATAAGTGACAAATTCATTGGGTCATCAAATCTGACCTGACTGTAACCGTAGGACATAAAGAGAATCAGATACTGGCAGTGTGAAGGACAACATCCACATGTTAACAAGTGCCTGTAGCTTCATTAAAGCAGTTTTACTATCTAAATAGATGATTTGTCCTTTTAATTAGCAACCAATTCTTTTAGTAGTATTTATTACCATACATAAATACACCACAGTAACATTAACCCAAATTCAGTGTGCAAAAAAATTGTTCATAAGTAAGGTGCTCACACAAAGCTGAAGAGAGAACATAGAGTGGCAAGAGGTTACGTGCCACACAAATTCTATGAAAGGTCAACTCTTGGCAAACCCTTGAACTTCTGAGCCTGTGGGTTTCCTCAATAGTCACACATGGCAATAACTCCCCTCTGCAGACCCACAAATGTCCTAAAACTCCAAACTTAGCTGATTTTGAGAGAAAGATATCTGAGATTTACAGGATAAACGTGCAGTTCTTCTTACCCTATCTCTTACCCCATCTTTCATATTTGTTGCCATTTAAATTTCCAAGTTATCAAGAACAGAGAGCAAACTGATGATCCATTTGGCTCAGAGTATATGCAGGAACGCACAGAACAGTGCTAGCAAAACCTACATAACCTCTCAAGGACAGGTGAGAGGCTTGGTCTTCTCAAATTCTGTCTGCTTAGATTGTGTGCACCCAGTAGCAACACTACATATATTATACAGCATGTTTCATGAATAACAGAGTTTAGCCCAGGATGGTTCTGCATAGTCCAAACAAGTTTCTCAGAAAGAGGATGACGTCTTTCAGCTGAAGGTGACGTCACCAAGCACAGCCTCTCAAGAAGGCCTTGAGAGCGTTTGATTCCTTTGCCAGAATCATAGCAACACAGCACCCACTGCCTTCTGTACCATCAGGCAGCTTCAGATCGAGAAACAAACAAACAAAAAATCCGCAGTGAGAGATAAGGTCTGACAGCAAAATTTGTTATTTTAGCCAAAGAGTAACTTTACCAGAACTTGCTCTTGCTCTCAATGCCCCCTTGCCCCATCATCAGAACCTGTTCTCTGTTGTGAATGAGTCTCAGCACCTCTTCTGCAGGACTGTGTTACTCATAACACAGCACAATTCAATGGCTGCATAAAACAGCTGTGTATTTGAAATCATCTTTGTATTGATGGCATACATTTGAATACAAATATGTACCATAACTCAAACTTGTTCTGATTATCCATGTGGCACTCACATTCCCTAAAGCAATATAAATGATTTATTTCCACTCATTTTCATGATCATTTTATGGCGATAACATGTACTGCTGTATCACTGTATCACGTGCTATATACATTCAAGGTTACCTAGTTTCCTTCAATTGAAACTAAAGCCCTTTTCAAAGCTGTCTTCCTGTGGGTATTCCTACATGGCCCTCCTCATCCTGGAATAACAATGACTGCAACAAACTTACAAGTCAGAATCATAGAATCCTTAAAGTTGGAAGGGACCTTTAAAGATCGACTAGTCCAGCTCCCCTGCAATGAACAGGGACACCACAGCTAGATCGGGTTGCCCAGGGCCTGATTCAGCCTTGCCTTCAAAGTCTCCAGGGATGGAGACTTTCATCTCCACATCTCTGGGCAATCTGTTCCAGTGCCTTACCACCCTCACCGTAGAAGACTTTTTCCTTATATCTAACTTAAATTTACCTTCCTTAAGCTTGAAACCATTTCTCCTTGCTCTATCAGAGCAGACCCTGAATTAAAGTAGCCCTGCTGAAAGAGATTGGGGGTCTTTGTTGACAGTGAGTTGAACATGAATCAACAGTGTGCTTAGGTTTCTTCAGCCTAGAGAAGAGCAGACTGAGGGGAAGCCTAATGACAACCTACAGTTTCCTCAGGAAGGGAGCAGAGGGGCAGGGGCTGATCTCTGCTCTCTGTGACAGCACAGGGCTGAATGGAACAGCATGGTGCTGCATCAGAGGAAGCTCAGTTTGGGGATTAGGAAAAAGTTCTTCACCACAGGGCACTGGGCATGGAACAGGCTGTGCCCAGGGCAGTAATCGTGTCACTTGGCTGCCAGAGTTCAAGAAGTACCTGGACAGCACTGTTAGATATACACTCTGATTTTTGGGTGGTCCTGTGAGGAGCCAACAGTCAGACTCAAACATTCCTATGGGTCTTTTCCAACTTGGGATATTCTAAAACTTAGAGAGTCATATCAAAACAAGCTTTTCCAGTTGACTGTGAAATCGATTTCTCGATCTATATTTTTTAAATGCTAGAAAATTCCCCGTACAAACAGCTGCTCACTGCGTTTTCCTTCAGCAGAAACGCACCAACATTTTGCTACACCCCTCCCCCCTTCCCCCCCCAGGGCTGACGCCGGAGCGCTGAGCTCTGGGACCGATACCAGCACGGAGTTGTTTTGATAAGCAGGCTGGTGAGCCTGCAGGCAGCCCAGCGGCCTCCATCCGCCCACCGAGGCTCCTGGCTGCAGCGCAGACCAGACAGCGATTGTAGCGGTGGCGCGTCCCGCGAAGGACGGGACTCGCAAGCAGCCAGGCTCGGGGCTGCCCCCAGCTCCCCCCGCTCAGCCCACGCCTCCGGCATCGCGGCTCCCGTCGAAGCATCCCCAGAGCGAGGAGAACGGAACCGCGCGGCGGCGGCGCAGATGGCACTTCGACACCTTCCCCTCATCCTTTCAGCCCCGGTCTGTAAGCACGAGCGTCGCCTCCCGCGGCCTCGCTCTGTTTCTCGCTCTCCCGAGGGTCGGGCCTCACCCAGCGATGCCCACCAGCGATGCCCACCCGCAGTTCGCCACCTCCGGGGGCGGCTCAGCGATCCCCGTCCCCCTACGCGCTTACTCACGGGTAGAAGCTGAGTTTGCGTTGGTCCCTGGCGCTCTGCCCGCCGCGGTTCTTGCAGCAGGACGCGGCACAATACCGAGGCATGGCGGCGCGGCCGGACGGGGCCCGGAACCGTCCGGGCAGCGGCGGGGGCGGCGGGGGCGGCGGTCACGAGGACGACGGCCACCGCTCCCGCCCCTCGTGCCGGGGGACGCCCCGCCCGGCAAGGCCCCGCGTCACGTGGCGCCGGCGGGCCAATGGCGGAGCGCTTCGTGTAGGAACGGCCGATGGGGCGCGGAGGGACGCTCTGCGCGCGCGCTGGCGACTGTTGGGCGGGAGCGGCGCGAGACGCTGCGGGGCAGCGGCCTCAGTGCGGGCAGCGCTGAGGCGAGGCGAGGCGAGGTGAGGTGAGGTGAGGTGAGGGGCGACGGGGCTGCAGCTGGAGGGCTGGGAGGAGGCGAAGCGGGTGGCGGTGCGCGGAGGGAGCAGAAGGGTTACGAGGCGCTGAGGGGGCGGTGCGGGGTCGCCGGGCCTCCTGGGATGGGTTTGTTCGCTCCTCTGGGCTGCGGCTCCTCGGTAGGCCCGCCCGCTGTAGCCCGGCTTGGAGCAGCGTCCCGCCGCGCTCTGTTACCCTCAACTCAGGGTCTGCCTGCGGGCCGGGGGGGGAGAGGTTGGGAGAATCCGATTGCAGGGGGCTGCAGGAGGTCTGTGCTGGCCGCGGGGCGGGCTGAATCATCGCGTTACTCCTAATGGCAGCCACGGGGAAACTTGGGGAACTTTGTTGCCGGTAACAAATCGCTTGCGAAGGTAGTAACGCGAAATGAAACTCGCGCTGTACGTAGTCAGAGCAGTGATGTGTGGGGTTTATGAGCGTGCGAGACTTGACGAGCGTCGAAATAAATGGGGAGCTGGCGTTGCGAGCTGGAAGGGGCTGCTCTATTTTCTGCGTGTGACAAACGCTGCCTGCCGTGCCTGGATGAAACCCGCACTACTGATAAACTGATAACCAATTGGGCACTGTCATGTCTTCAGTGCTTCTGATAGACGTTACTGTGCTTTTTGCACCGAGCTGAATAGCAGTTGAGATCTGTAATTACTTATCTAATAGAGTGAAGTGCTTAATCCGTGTTCATAAAACCTCCCATTTTGTTGCTAGATGTACCCAAATAAAATCTGGCTCCTAATAGTGTTCTGCACTGTAGCTGTGGGGGGCTGTTCTGTTGAATAAGCTTAACGTCAGGCAGCTTGTAGAACTTATTTGAGAATTCATAATTACTGGAGAAAGCCTAGAAAGTGAAACATTTCCCTTTGCTGGGGAAACTGAGGGAGAAGAAACATGCGGAGTAAGTATTTAAAGGAGACTTCATTATGAAAGCAGTTGTGAAAATAGTGGGAAGTCAAACCTGGCCTTTAGTTTTGTCTTAATTGGCAATAGCACCACTGAGATGCTGACTGCATATCAAACAGCTGTTCTCTGGGGGAAAAAAATCCAATATCTTTGATTAATTCAAAATATGTTATCTAAATACAGGACTTAGGATAAAACGCTGTTTACGTTTGAGTTCCATTTATATTTGATTTTCATTTGTTGTATCGCTTCATTTGAGCCTCTCTTTTTTCTTCCTGGCTTAAAAGATTTGAGAGGTTTCCAGGAGCATCTTCTTGAATGCAAAGAAATTTTTGATTGACTTCACAAATTAATGGGGAAAAAGCCTATACAGAATTAAGTAGAACTAGGAGCAATGGAGCATAGAATGGCATTGCCAAAATCCTAAAGTAAAACTGTAGTGAAAGAGAAACCTAAGTATAATTCTTATAAAGAGTAATATAAATGGAGAGGCTTGTGCAGAGCAAAAAACTAGTGAGTGACTTGATGTTCTCGGACTGGAAATCGTGGGTTCTGAGAGAGTTTGTCCTTAATGAAGAAGGTAGACAACTCTTCAGCTCCATTTAGTGTTTAATAGTAGAAGCAGGGAGGTCAGCCACCTCCCTGCCATTCCAGGAGAATGGAGCAGCATGTCTTTGTTTCCTCATATTCCTCACATTGTGCATACATAATTGGTCTCTGCATACACAATTGGTCTCTGGCACATTAAGAAGACAAATCTGTATGTGCAAAGCAGAAGGAAAGCACAGAAGGTGGGGAGGGATGGGTGTGTGTGTAGGTCTTGATGTCCAGGTGGGAAAGTTTCAGATGAGTGAACTGGTGGGAAAGAATATGTGGAAAAATGTGGGAAGCTTCTTGTGCTGAAAATCTGTCTGGTGTCATGCAAGAAGAGTAAAGCAAAGAGCTGCCCATTTGGTGTCTAGATATACTGATGAAAATACAATTTGTTTCAACTGCTACTCCATAACACTTGATATCATGCAGGCTGCTAGCCAAATAAATGCTTAAGAGGGCATGGGTACGTTAATCTTCCATGAGCTTTTTGCTCTGACCTCACTACATTCATTTTAGCCCCTTGACCTATCTCTTAGAAACGTGTTTGTTTTTTTTTTTTTTATGTTTTTTGTGCTTGTATATGAATTTAGTTTAGAGGGACTTCCTATTTAAAGGCTCAGTTGTCTCATTTACCTGATATGCATTGTTTAAAAGACTTTGAAGAACAAATATTTGAGTTGCGTACCAGCTAAAGTTAAAGCATGCTAGCTTTTGTGATGCTCAGACTGTAAGATTCGCTTATTAAACTTTCAGCAAATGGCAGCATATTTTGCCTTGTGTAGAGAACTGCTTTTTGAGTTCAGTTAATGCATTGAGAATTGGGTGTGTATACCTATTTTTGCAGTGATATTTATCAGATAAATTCCTTTTATCAGAGGTTTGATAGGTGTTTTTATTTCAAACACAGTCTATTATGAAAGCAAATTAAATCCAGCTTATTGTAAGCAGTGGAAGAAGTTTTTCATCTATTTGTCTGAACTCTGTACTCTAGTTGAGTGTTCTGCTTTTATTGTGTTCGACGTAGGCCAGTTAAATGACCTGAAGTTGAGCATTAGTGTCTAACAATCTTGGTTTAAAGTTGATTTTTAGTCCTGCCGTGTTTCCAGATTCTTATTGTTGCTCAAGCTCATCAGTGAATTGTTCTGCCAGTATATTCAGTATATTTTGAAAATTGCACTGTAATTCAGAGCCACTGCGTTTATGATCCTAATACTCAAGATTTAGTTTGATGTTAGTCCAGGTATGTCAGCATAAACTGTTTCTTGTTGCAGTGAAAGGCATTGTGAATTTAATTCATAGTCCAGTTTCTAGCTGTTGAGGGAATGCATAGGTAATGTTTTAAAAACAAAAACAACAAACAAACAAACAAAAAAACCCAGCAAAACATAGCAGTAATCTGTGATAGATGTGGAATATGAATTTGCAGGATTTCCATTCATGTATTTTTTTGTTTATAAAGCTAAAGGATGGAACTTTTTAACCTGTGTGAAAAAACTTGTTTACATATCTGTCAGAGTGACTCATGAAAAATACACGTCATACTCTTTCAGCTTATAGTTATACCTTTTCTTTAAGTTGCTGTGGAACCTGAAATAACTTGTTTGAGTATGTTTATTTTTTCTTTCTAGAAACCACAGAAATGGCAACTATGCAATCTATCTTCACATTTGCTCTCTGCATTTTGATGATAACTGAGCTAATACTGGCTACAGAGAGCTATTACGATATCTTAGGAGTTCCGAAAAATGCATCTGACCGCCAGATCAAGAAGGCGTTTCACAAACTGGCGATGAAATACCACCCAGATAAAAATAAGAGTCCTGGTGCGGAAGCAAAATTTAGAGAAATTGCTGAAGGTAACGTATACTAACCTTAATCTTATAATAACTGGACACATGGCTTGTATATTGACTTTTTACGTGGGTAGATGGTGATAAGACAGAGGGAGAGTGGTTTTAAACTGTAAGAGAGGGAGATCTAGGTTAGATGGTATGGCAGTTTTTTGTTTTTTTACTGAGAGAGTGGTAAGGTACTGGAACAGGTTGCCCAGAAAACTGTGGATGCCCCATCCCTGCAGGTGTTCAAGGCCAGGATGGATGGGGCTCTAGGCAGTCTGATCTGCTAGCAGCCCTACCCATGATGAGGGGGTGGAACTGGGTGATCCTTGAGTCCCTTCTGACATAAGTTGTTCTGTTATTCTGTTCAATAATTATATCTATGAACAAATACGTTAACTTAAGTATACTGCTTTAGTGCATAAGATAAGAAAAATTATGTATTTTTACTTGTTGTGGTGGCAAATGTCACGTGTCAGTATTTGACTCATGTCTGTTTTTGTATGTAGGCAGGCTTCTTAAGCAGTTTATGCATTTCTACCTATTGAACATCTAGGCTGAAGTCTCTTTTCACAAGAGTATGTGGGAGTAGGACAACTTTAGCCCTAGGAGTTTACTTCAGTGACTGTACCTTTGATCTGCCTGATAAGATCCAGTTCAGGATTACTATGGCTTCAAGAAGAAACAAAAAAAACCTTCAGAAAAGCTCTCTGGTGGCTTGTGGTGGAAATACAAGAGACATTAGGCGCAGGAGTTTCGTTGTGGCTACAAGGCGAAGCTTTCTTTGCCTAGGGGGTGGGCAACACTTGGAACAGGTTGCCCGGACAGTCTGTGCACATTCCATCCTTGCAGACTTTTCAGGAATGAGAAGATAAAGCTATGAGGAACTAGATTGATCTCATAACTGATTTAATTGAGCAGAGCAGTAAACAAGAGGTCACTTCCAACCTGAACTATCCTAAGAATGCACCTTTCATGAGTGTTCTGTGATGAAAATACATTGGTGGAAGTGAATAACCAAGAACATGACATTATTTGCTGAAGAATAAGATGTTCTCACTTATGCTCCCCGTAGGTTTTTATCACATCCATCCATCTTGTGTGTTTCTATCAAATGTGAGCTTTATCTTCTTGTCTACAGAACAGTTACTTTGAGAGAGGGGTAATAATGTAGTTAAAAGAAAGGGTGGTCTGTTTAGAAACGGCAGCTGTTACAGTGCTAAAGGAGGAAGTGGGAGTTCTAAGTATGTGTTGAGCTGTATAGAAAAATTGGGAAACCCTTGACAGGTAAGAGAGTGGTAGTGCTCCAAATGCATATTCTAATTACAAGGAGTATTTTATATGTCAGTTTCTGCCTTGAAACAGCTGTAGCTGTAGTTTTGGACCAAGGAACAGATGGAAATCTAATTCCATTTTGGTTATACCCAATCAAAAAATGTGGGTTTATTGGTAAGCTTCTGAAATGTTGAGAGTTTAGACAAATAAGTAATTCATTTCCTTTGTTTTACTTTTGCCCTTAATGTTTAGCTTATCACTTAATTCTGAGTCCTGCATAGCTAGTACTGCCTGTCTGCAAGTAGCTTTGCAGATACTGCACTGTTTCTGTGATAAGAGTGCAGCAGGCAATTTACTTGTTCAGGGAGAGCTTCTAGCACATCCTCTTACCTTCAGTCTTTTGCATTGCCATATCTTGCTGCTGTTTTCTTTCAAATATAAGCAATAATATCTTTATTGCTAGCTAAACAGTGTTTTGTGAATTAAAAATTTTGAGGCTGTAATCTGCCATCATAGTATAACTATTACTATAAGTAAATAGCTGTAATTAATTTGAAACAACTGATTTTGGATTGTAGGAAGTTAAATATTAATCTTGATTGGACTTGAGCATTCAATTAAAGTCTAGCTTGGAGAATATCTCATTGCAGGAGGGGGGAAAGGCCGTTCTGTGTGTTTGGTTGTAGTCTTCATGTGCATGCAATTGACATTTTAAAACGTTTTTTTCTTTTGAATTGGAAATAGCATATGAAACATTATCAGATGAGAATAAACGAAGAGAATATGATCAATTTGGCCGTCACGGAGGACAAGGAAGTAATGGAAGCCCATTTCATCAGTCATCATTCAACTTCAACTTTGATGATCTGTTCAAAGACTATGACCTGTTCAGTCAGTACTCACGGTCGAAAAAGCACTTTGAAAATCACTTCCGAAGTCATCGGGAAGCTCACAATCGGCAAAGACGGTCTTTCCAGGAGTTCTCCTTTGGAGGTGGACTGTTTGATGATGTGTTTGAAAATATGGAAAAGATGTTTTCTTTTAGTGACTTTGAAAATGCACACCGACACGCAGTGCGAACTGACAACAGGTTCCATGGATCCAGCAAGCACTGCAGGACTGTCACTCAGAGACGAGGAAACATGGTTACTACATACACAGACTGTTCTGGACAATAATGTTTCCTTTCTTTTCATCTCTTCTTCTTTCGATGCCTCCATAATTCTCCGTGGTTATGTGCTAATATTGAAAGAGATCTTTGAACTGTGTATTCTTAAAAACACTTAACTGCTATAAAGAATTTATAGATGGAACTAATTCTCAGAATAGAAGCAACATGCAATTAAGAGCTAAACGCCTCAGTAACTACTTAAAAGAGGAGAGAAATAATCTTGCAACAGAGGAAATTTTGTATTTCAATTTAGTAAGCGCTCAGTAAATTCATCATATGATATATTTTTTTTAATTTTAGAAATATAATATAATTGTATGCCAATTCAGGAATGTTTGAGTTACTGGTGCATGGATTTCTAGCAGTGGTGATACTTTATTCTGAAGTGCTGCTTTTTTTATTATGCCTTTCAGATTTTCGGTAGTGGTTTTTACTGAATGTGGACTTAGTCCACAAGTTCAACAATTTGCACAAAATAGCAGCGGAAATAAAACTGTGTCTTTGCAACTTTGTCCAGCATTGCAAATCTGTTAGAAACAAAGCATGTATATTCCAACTTAAAAACAAATGAAAAAGGAAATATACTAAGATTGTTCATCACCTAGGAGAGCGATGTAGGTTGAGGATATGAATAACCCTTCACTCGCTTAAGGGCTATTGATGTATGCAAGTTTGTGTATGCACATAGTATGTTTCTTAGTCCACCTCTCCAAAACACAAATATCTCTTAAGATTCAGAAGAGCATATTGAATACAATCCTTACAATCCCGCTTTATGCTTCTCATAATTATCATGTGTGCACTGTAGTTGCCATAGTTCCATTTGTTGAACTTAAGTTCTCCTTTGTGCTTTGGCAAACTTAAACAAATAAGCTTACTTTCAGATTCCTAGTGTTTCTGGAACAGTCTAAATAAGAAAGAGGTTGTGTTTGGATATATTTATTACCTGTCAGCAGAGATTATTCAGCTTTGTGATTTGAAAGGTAAACTCTTGGCATAAAGGAATAGTGAAACTGGAGGTTACAGTTCCCATATTCACCTAATACTTTGTGGTGCTGGTGTCTGATAACAGGCAGGGCTAATAGGTAACAACTTCAGTGCTATGGAAATCTGTAACCAGTATAAACTCCTTTTTTTTAAAAAAAAAACAAAAAAACAAACAAAAAAAAAAAACAAAAAAAAACCAACAAAAAAAAACCACAACTCTTAATACATATTAACTGAAGTTAATATGTATCAACCCAAAAGTTCTTTAGTAAGGTTATCACACACATGTTGCTATCTGTTGAAAATTATGAGAATTTACCTTTCAAATGGATTGCATGAGCAAAATAAGTTTTTGAATAGCAGTGTTATAAATAGGCTTTGAATTCTTAAGATCTTTAAAGAAAAGTTTAACTCTTTGCTTCTTGAACTGATACTGAAAGTGAACTGATACTGAAAGCTGACTATTTGCTAAGTAATATTAACCTTTCCCGCAAGGGTGCGTATTATCACTTGTTCTGTTTTCACTCACTAAATACTTGGAATGGATTATTGCATTATATTAAGTGCTTTTCCATATTTTTTTATTTATTAATGGACTAATACCTCATACATGGTCTTTATAAAAAGCCAGTAATTTGTGCAACATTGTTGGAATGTGCAATATTATAGATGGAAAAATGATGGGGTGTATGTGAATGTCTGTTATTTCCACTCTTTTTCTGTGCAAATAGATGTTTTAGTTTCCTCTGTGTAATTAATATGATTGAACTGAAAATTGTAATTCATGCAGATTTCTGACTCCATCAGTCCTGACTCCATCGAGTCAGTTTGTCTGATTTGTACCACATGGACATCCGACTGAACAAATTACTAACCGAGAGACCTGAATTACTTTCTCACAGATACCTGCGTTCTTGTTTGTTCTTTTTGGTCACATGAATAAAAGACAGACAAGTTAATTATGTGTCATGGGAAAGCAAGTAAATACATACTGTAATTCCTAGAGCTTCTAAAATTGACCTTTTTGCTTGCTTTGATCATCAAAGGTAACATCCAAAGGAGAACCTTACAGGTAGGACAGAAGCTCCCAGCGTTTATCTATCTCTAGCTTTCTGCAGTGGATATGTTTTAAGTACACTCTAAATTAAGAGATTCAGGCAGGCTTTCCTCAGGCAGCTGTCTTCAGTTTGTGGCTATCAGAACGCAAGCTTGCAAAACATGTTGTGCATCTCACTTACTTGGAGCTCTTGCACATTCTTTTCCTATTTATAGTGTTTGCTTCATGGTAGGCTTGTTAACAGAAGTCCTCATATAACCTTCAGAAGTTTGAAATGATTGATTCTTGTCATCTTTGATATCTTGTGAGAAGACCCAGCTAAAGCTATTTTTTTAATGTAAGAGTGAAAAGTACAAATCATAATTCTTGAGAAGGCGTTTATGCATATGCAACTCTGAATAGTTGAGTTCTTAAAACTTTCAGGATAACTAGTATTTTTTTTTCCCTTTTTTCCCATTATACTTTTGAAACACAGTATCTAGTGGAGACAAAAAGTACTGTAAACTTGATTAGGGTGCCGTTACATTAAATATGTGAAAATTGCTTGTGTGTGAAGGCCTTTTTTTTTTTTTTTTTTTTTTTTTTTTCTTCCCCCCCTCCCCTTCCTCTTACAGTTGATTAAAGCTGGGTTAAAATGCATTATGTGGGGCATGTGTTGTATAGAACATCTTGACTGCTACATTTTCTCCAGGAAATTGATGGGATGACTGGGAAAAGCAGCTGGAATTGAAAGAAATAGACAATTCTCTCTGGTCTGGTTTTTTGTTTTTTTTTTTTTGTTTGTTTTTTGTTTTTTTTTTTTTTTTTTTTTTTTAGAGGTGTTTGGAGTTAGTTGGTGTTCAGGGATTATGTCTGTAAACCAAGCACACAGAAGAGCCTGTGCAAGAGGATCCTAATTTCTTTTGGGATGCCATAGGTATATCAGTTGAAAACCTCCGCCTTCAACTGTGGGATCTTTCCCTGATGTCTGTGCTGTCTACTCAGCTGAGCTGTGTGAGATTAGTATGACAGGCATGGGTTGGTGCTGAAAAGCATAAATTCTGAAGGAGCACTGAGAATGCTGTCATGTTGATTCAGAAGCTGTCTGCATAACTGCTTGAAAGTTGTTGTGTTCTGGGCCTAATACTTAGAAGGTGAAGTTGAAAGTCTTACAAAGCAATGTGTCTCATTGGGCCGTATCTTGTTAGATCTGGCTTTCCTGGAATATAAACAAGTCTTCCATCTTGATATAGAACCAAATTGTTAGGACTGAATGTATTTTAAGACAAGAAAGTTTGTGTTGTTTTTGTGCTAAAGGGTGGTTGATTGTGTTTAGCTCACATTGAGATTGTCTCTTCCTGGTATTTGAAGCGAAAGCTTCATGTAGAATACTGTTCCACATATGGAGCTCATTTCAGAAAAAATGCTCTTCAGAGCTCCATGTGACTTTGCTGATGTGGTTGAGCCTGACTGGCCTGCCCTTTAATAGTGATTCACACAGATTCATGCTGTTAGCTTATGCAGTGTGGGTGCTTGTGTGAATTTTTTTGCCTTAGAGACCAAACAGGGGCCAGGTATTTCTTGTGATGGCTACTTAACTTTGATATCAGTTGACAGCCACTTGTAGTGTGTCTGCATCAATTCTAAAGCAAGGCTATAACTCATCCTCGATTCCGGTTCAGTTTAAACAACTGCTTTTAAGTGATAAATTCTAAAGCTTTGGCGCTGTGGAAAACAACTTTTTATATGGTGTGTGTTACCTTTTAAAATGCTGGCTTTTGGTTCAGCAGCTTTGAAGTAAAGGTTAGAAACAAATGTTGCTGCGTTTATAGTTTCTAGTGTAATTGCGCACCAAAGGATGCTGTTGAGGGGCTCAGATCACTAGGGTTGACTACAGAGTTCTGCTGACTTGGGATCCCTAACTGAAGGTGGTGGACCATCTTCTCCAGCCAGTGTTTCTCAGACAATTGACCACAGAATGACTGCACACGCAGGATCGACATACATATTCATTGCTTTTTAAGGGATCTGCTGACAGTCTGAGGTGTGACTCTGCGTTGTGTCTTTGCGTTGGCAAGAACTGTTGCACTTCTCTAAAGTGTGATGAGAAAATGAGAAAACTGGTAAAACAGTGCTGAGTTCTGCGTAGAGGGCCTCTGTCAATAGTACATTTCATGAGTGGTATTTTTGGGACCATACTGCCCTAAGTCCTCAGCTGAGGAATTCTGCATAGTGTTACTTTGAAAGTCAGAAGCAGAGACAGTTACAAGCTGAACTCAGAGGAACTGGAAGAAATATCGGTGATGATTGTTCTGGTGTTACTGTTTTTAAGGTGTTTTAAGCTGTTACAGACCCAGCTTTTTACGGATTGCTGCACTCACTGCATAAGCATGGCAACCTTTACCCTGGTACTTCTCCGGGAAGTAGTCAGGCTGAAAATGCGTGTTTCTGTTTCAGTTGCTGGTGATGACCAGCAATAGGTACAAGAAAAAAATATGAATAAGGACTTTCCTTTCTCCATACATGGCTGTCTGAATAGTGGGTGGTGCCTGCTGTTGTGCATGCTGTTGAACTGATTCAAGGAGACTAATGTTCACTGGGGGATTGGGGGAATTGTCTTGACCCAGGGGAAGACTTACAACTGCATATGACTCTAGTGACATGCAGTGGTGATGCAGCTTATCCTCCAAAATTTGAATTTCCTGCAACGCAAAATGGAATACTGTTAGAATAATTTTTACTGTGCAGGGGATGGCATAAGGAGGTGAGTCTTTGTGTCATTTCAGGGATACTCTGGATGTATTGCAGAGCATAGATGAGCTGCAGGATGTTACTCTCAGCCTGATCTAGAGTATAGAGGTAGTTTTTTTCAGCGCAGATCATCTACCATTCACACAGAGAATGTAACAATGTTGCTATTTTCTGAAGCTGTTAGTTTCACATCAAGAGGGAAATGTACAAGCTGGAGAAGTGGGCCCATGTGAACCTAATGAGGTTCAACAAGGCCAACTGTGAGGTGTTGCACTTGGGCTGGGCAATCCCAGGTATTTATACAAAATGGGGGAAGGACTCCTTGAGAGCAGCCCTGCTCTTGGAGGATCCTGGTGAACGAGAAGCTGGACATGAGCCAGCAGTGTGCACTTGCAGCCCGGATGGCTAACTGTTCTGGGCTGCATTAAAGAAGGGGTGGCCAGCACAGGGAGGGAGGTGATTGTTCCCCTCTGCTTGGCTCTTGTGAGGCCCCATCTGCAGTACAGCGTCCAGACCTCGGGCCTCCAGAACAGCAAGGATGTGGAGCTCTTAGAGCGGGTCCACAGGAGGGCCACTGAGATGATCACAGGGCTGGAGCACCTCTGCTATGAGGAAAGATTGAGGGAACTGGGCTTGTTTAGGTTGGAGAAGGCTTCAGGAAGACCTCATTGTGGCCTTCCAGTACTTGAAGGGAGCATATGAGCAGGAGTGGGAATGGCTGTTTACAAGGGTGGATAGTGACAGGACAAGGGGAAGTGGTTCTAAACTAAGACAAGGGGAGGTTTAGGTTAGATATCAGGAAGGAGTTTTTCACACAGAGGGTGGTGACGCACTGGAACAGGTTGCCCAAGGAGGCTGTGGATGCCCCATCCCTGGAGGCATTCAAAGCCAGGCTGGATGTGGCTCTGGGCAGCCTGGTCTGGTGGTTGGCGACCTGCACATAGCAGGGGGGTTGAAAATAGATGATCTTAGAATGGTCTGGGTTGAATAGGATCAAACTTTAGGCATTACTAGCAATTACTTATTACTAGCAATTACTTAGCAAAATTTTATCTAGATATAAGGAGAGAAAATACATTTTAGGTTGTTACTTGTTGATAATACTGCTATTATCTGTTCTTCATTTCCCTCTGGCACAGAGGTGAGTATGCTAACTGGGAAATAAGAAAGATGAAGTGAGTCTTGTCTGAAGGGTCCCGCTTGACTTCACACCATTTTGCTTCAACACCTGGCGCACACAAGTGTTTTACCTTTGAATATGCAGGTAATGATTTGAAGAAGTCCACAGGGCAGGAGTAACATACATTTTTCTTCTGTCATGCAACAATAGGCACTTCAGAAAACTCAATTAAATTATAA